GCAGCATGAGTGCTTAAATGCTTCTGCTAAAGCTATCAGGTTTATTTATTCAACAGCAGCTAAAAACATTTCCTTCTGTTTTTTAAAAAAGAAACAAATCAATATTTTTTTTCAAAATCAAGACAGTTTCATAAAATACATTTTGACTGATAAAACAAAATATTTTCCGTGTCTTTTGACAAATGTTAGTGATATTTAGAATAAACTTTAATGTTGTTAGCTATATTTCAGGTGGAATAGCTTCCCTTTTTAAGCTGCATCTCTGTAACTTTAAAAAAAAGTACATTTTCAGAGATGGACTATTTGATCTTTAAGAATCATACAATCTTGTGAATTAAATCTTAGTTCATACACTATAGAACAACTTAAAGTGGCAGCACAGTTTATGGTGGAAACTTGCTTTACTTATAAATATTGATAATTGGAATTATTAATGGATTTTCTAATTCTTGATTTTTTAAAAAGATTTATTTATTCATATAGAACTGGGGTACAGGTCAGAGATACGGAGGGTGAGAGGATTCACCAGAGACAGAGTGGGGAGCAGAACAGGCAGATCGACGAAGTACACTGCTGAGGGGAGCAGCTGGCGCGTCAGGAGAGGTCTGCCGCGCCATGTGGTCACCTCCGGGGCAGGCGGGAATAGAACTCATGCTGAAGTGGCTTACGCTTCTTAGTGCTGTGCTTTAACCCGCTGAGCCACCAGGGAGGGCCTAATTCTTGTTTTTAGTGGAGGTAACATTGGCTCAGTATTGTACAGGATTTAGAACTCTAGGATCTCACTCTTCAGGTGTAGGGTCACACCACTCCCACACCTTAGTCCTTCCTCATAGTCCCTCATGTCCCAACCCCTTTGGTCTTCCCCCTCCCTGTTCCCTGGTAACCAAAACTCCAATCACATTTCTAGGGTTTGTTCTTGGTTTAGCTTTTTCTGACCTTTGTTTTGTCTCTCTCTATTCCAGACATAAGTTACACCATCTGGCATTTGGTTTGCCGTTGTTGAGCCATCTTTGTGATCCTGAAATGAATCACATGGTCATGGCTGTTTATGGCTCTATTTATTTAAGACCCCCCTTTTTTTGTTTTCCTTATAAGTCTAATTGGAGACTTGTCTATTTTATTTTTTCAGTCAGCTTTTGGTTTCTTTAATCTCTTGGTGGGGGCATATTCTACTATCCTGTCCTCTTGTGGGATCCTTGCCCTCCTGACACACTCCAGCTCCTCCACACATATCTCTCTCAGTTAAGGATGCAACTTTACACTAACAAGCTCTCTCCAGAGGGACCGGCTGACCCTGGAGCACAGCTTGTGCCAGTCTCCCACCCCAGTTTCAGTCTCTAGGTACCTCTCTCCCCCCATTTACAAAAATATGTTTAATTTATTTATGCATACAAGAACTGGGTTATAGGCCAGGAGTGTGGGGGGTGAGAGGATTTACTGGAGAGAGTGGGGAGAGAACTGTCAGTGACCAAAATACACTGCTGAGGGGAGCAGCAGACAAGACAGGAGAGGTCTGCTGCACCATGTGGGTCAGCTCCCTGGATTGAAGTCATGCTGCAGTGGCTGCTGATAGCTTTGTTAGGTGAGCTTTCAATGTACTATTAGAGTTCCAAGTCAGCAGAACTGGTAGGATGCTCTAGTTAACTTGTATCTCTCTCTCTTTCCCTGGGTTGTTCCCTTTCTTTCCCTTTCATAAATAAACCCATTACTAACCTTTTTGTGTGTGCCTGCAGTACAACTGAATCTTAGGCGCATGAGTGAGAACCCACAGGCAGACAACCCAGTTCACATTGGGTTGCCCTGTAATAGCTTCATAGTGCTGAGACTTTACCCCTTGTGCCACCAGGGGGGCCCTCGCCACCTACTTTTTGCTTAATGGAGTTATGTTTCCTCAGAGTCCATTCTGCATGGTAAATGTTTGTTCCTGAGGGTACAAGAAGTTACTCGATTTTTATTCTAAGTCATGGGTTACTCTGTCTGGGCCCAGTGCCTCTGCAGAACATTTTCAGAGTAGCCTCCTTGGAGCAAAGTAGGAAATCTCCTCTGATACCATCTTTCCCATTCTCTCCAATTTTTATTTAAAATATCGAAATATAGACTTAGCAAACATCCCTATGGAATGAAAATGTTCCTTTTGACAACTTAAATAGAACCAATTTGTATACCAAGTAATCTTTGGCAATGCTTCCCAAATAAAGAATCATGTATGGTATTATATTATTTATAACACTTTATATAAATTTCAGTTTTAATTAATCAGATATATGCTCTCTATATATGGTGGTGGTAGATTGTCCCCTAAATACAATTTTAGGTTGCTATGCTATGTTTTCCACAAATAAAGAAAAACTGATCTTGAAATTTATGAAATATGGTAATGTGATTTTCTCTGACATTAAAATTTTGATATACACATTTATGGCAGGAAAAAGACCAGTGACATAAGTGAAAGGAGAACACTTGGTGTTTGTACCTATGACGAACAACAGAAGCTAGAAACACCTATCAACTTGTTCTTTTCTCTAAGTTTAAAGAAGCATATGTATTACATACGATTCCTAAAATTACAGATATTACAATATGTATGTGTGTGGTGCATAATAGAACAATATACCTGATATTCTAACCTAAAATTTATTCAAATGCTTGGCTCAATTCCTAAAGTACTGCTTTATAAAAGTTTATCATCTTGAATGTCAAAAATAACTTACTAAAACTTGTCCCAATAAATATATTTATATATACACACATATATAATATATATAACTAGTCATATAAAATATAAATATATAAATCAAAATATAAATACATAATATTTAATATATAGATTATATTCAATATAAATCAAGTGTAAAATATGCATTTATACTTATAAATGCATCTATAACATATATATGTATTTCATTTGATAATACAAAGTCAGGTTCTCAAATCATATCACTAGTAATTTATGTCTGTGTTTCTAATTCATATTATGTGGCCTTACATAAGTGTTTTTGTTAGAGATTTATACACTCGTGGAATACTTAACATCACATGATCCATCCTGATCAGGTTTAGCATTGCATAAGTGAAGAAATTAAAATCACAGATTATTGATTAGCTATGACTGATTGATGACACTGCCATAAGTAAAATTTAGATTGGAATGAGGTATTTTTTCAGTGAACTGTATTTTAATGCTCTTTTCAAACTCATGTAAATCCTAAAGCATCATGATTTTGTTCAACTTAATTGCTGATAGGCATATGTATACCTTTCAAAGTGTAAAGGGTATGTGTATCCTATTATAACAAAAACACTTTTTATTCGTTAGAAGTATGAAGCTGCTTAATGTGCCTGAAATACAAATGATATACCTCATTTTATGACTTGTTTTGATTATACAAAGTGCAAGAACAATACAAGGAGAATATTTATAAAATTTTTCTTCATTCTGTTTCTGTAATTTATGTGACTTTGTGGGAGAGAATGATATGCTAGGTTTCCTAATCATTGTTTACATTACAATTAGAATCTTGCATCAATTATTTAATTAGTAAGATCTAAGTGATTATTTCTTTCACTTTATCTTTAATGACATGAACTCAAGTCAAAGTTTTAAAGGAGTCTTTTAGTAGCATTTACAGAATTGAAGTGAAAACAGCATGTGTAGAGCTATGATAGACTTCATGAAAAGTCTTTTGTTGTTAATTACCACCCACATAAGTCAAAATTTAAAATACATATTTTGAACTTCTTCCTTTGTGATGACTCTTAATCATTTAAACTTAATAGGCTTTTGTGATGAACTTTTTGTAGGTTTGACTTACTCATGAAAAAGTGAATAAAAAGCAAACATGTTTCTAGTAAAGCATATTCTCATTCTAGTACCTTAATTTTTTTTTTATTCTTTAAGATTTATTTATTCATGCATACAAGACCTTGGGTGTAGGCTTGAGGTGGGGGCTATGTGTTGAGGTGATTCACCAGAGACAGAGTGGGAGCAGAACAGATGGATCCACTGAAATGCACTGCATAGGGGAGCAGTGGGCAAAGCAGGCAAGGTCTGTTGTGCCATGTGGATCAGCTCCCTGGCATGGGATCGAACTCATGAGGCCGTGGTTAGTGAGAGCTTGATAGTGTTGTGTCTTCAACCCCTACAGCACCAGGGAGACTCATTAAAAAAATTGTTTTGATGCCTAAAAATAGACAATGATTTAATGGAGTACTTGTACAAACTATGTTCGCCTATAGATTCTGTTTCTCTATTTCTTATTTTTAAGTCCTTAACCTTTCTCCCTATAAATAACTCACATAAATTGCGAGAATAGCGAGCTGTTTAATCAAAGTAGATAAAGAAATTGTTCTTAGTGTAAACAGCAGAGAATGGTATTCCCTGTGTACTAGACCAAAATCTAATGGACCATTCGAAAGACATTTCTACACAATAAAAATAATTTGCCATCTAAATATTGGTCATTACTAGAAAAGCACATTTATTTATTACAGTATTCTTTCAAATTATATTTCTCAATTTCCAACACATTGGGCACATGTGAATTAGGTGTTTGTTTTCTGAGGTGTGAGGCTATTCCTATTAGAATACTAGACTGACTCCTTAGAAAGTTTCAGATGTGTGAGCACTTATTGCTGAGTAATTATTGATTGTTTCTGGGGCTATCAAAATCTTAATGTCACCTCAATAAAAGATAAAAGATAAATAAATGAAATCTTTCATAACTAAAATAAAAAGCAAAAAGTCCATATAAGTCAATATCTATACTCTATAGCAATTAGCCATAAATAGGTATATGTTCTTTCTTTGTCATGGGAATATCTTAACATATGAAGCAAAAGAGTATGATGAAGGACACTATGGATTAATCCATTGAAAACGAGGATACACTTTACTAATTCTCACTTATCTTCAAGGGCCACAGCGATGCTAGAGAGAGGAAATGGTGTTCATAGAAACATACTTTTTTTTTTCAAATAAATACTGTTTTTTTTTTTAACAGTATGAAAGATGCAGGCGTAGCTCATAAGCAGTGGAGGGGTCCGATATCATCTACCTGCAAGCCATGCCCCATGGTCCATCCCAGTCCTGTTTGCGGTTCAGATGGTCATACTTACTCTTCTCAGGTAAAGATAATTCCAGTATGAAATACTAATGCTTTTGTAAGTGACTAAAAATGCTAATGCTATAATGTGATCCTCCAAATGATTTATTTAACTTTTAAAATCTTATAGCTAAACTTGCTAGTTTGGAATATGATTTAATGTAAATATGTTTCTACTATGCCAGCAGGTTTAATGTTTGAAATCTAAAGCTGTGAACATACAGAACCTTAAAATACTGAAACCAACATTACCTTTGCTGCTACTCTGAAAAGGGTCAGGAATGTTTTTATGCCATACAGTAATTCTAATGGTGGTTACCATAGTGACACACACAGCTACAACCTGTTGGGATCATTTCTTTTGTCTCATAAGTTAAATCCTAGATTATCTCATTTAAGTCTTCAAAAGTCTGCCAGTGTGTGAGAAAACTAAGATTGGCAAAGTATAGCAGAATTCACATATTTATCTTATATTGAAGTCAAGATTTGATGTCATTTTTGATTCAGTGTTTCTGTTCTCTTCTGTATATTATTCTACTTATTTATTTGATGTAAAATATTGTTCAAGTATTTTGGAGTATTTTAAAAAAATGTCTTCACAAGACCTTGAGTTTTTTTTCTGATGATATGACAGAAGGGAGTATAGACTCAACCTCTTACCTGAATCTTTGGGACCAGATACATTTATGGGTTTAAAATTTTTAAGTGTATAGTTTAAGTATATGAAGACATAGTGCCCTCATTGGGATCTAATTAAATGTAATACTATCTCTTGAAGGAACTATGTGAATGTTCAGGTTAAATAGGAATCCTGAAATCTGTAAAGGAACTTTAACTCAATTCATGTCTGATTTTGCTTTCTGTTAAGTTAGTTTCAGAACTTTTTGGCTATCTGAACATTTTATTTTTATAGAATACTCTTTGTCTACCATAACATATCCCAATAAATATTTTTATAGATATTTCACTTGCTTTTTTTTTCTTTTTAACCTTAATGAGGACACTACAAGGATAAAATGGGTTAATTCAGTCAGAAAAAATGTACATACTACTTATACTACTTATGGATGCTAAGTACTTAATATATCCTTAAGGAAGCTGCAATGTATTTATATGCTAAAGTTATAAAGGTGCATGTATAGATATAATTATTGCCAGGAGAAAAAGAATAGTATAATCAGTCCTCTCAACAAGACCATGAAACTTGTAAATTTATCATCATCCCTCATCTTTGAAAATTTAGAAAATTCATGGTTTCACCACAAGGAGAATGAGTCTGTTATTGTTAAATCCTATATGATGATGTATGAACCATTGTACTGATCTGTTAAATTACAAAGTGATAGGTTAAAGCTACATGGGAAGCAATTTAATCTTAATTTTACTTTCTCAACATTGATGCTTGAACAATTTGAGTCAAAGGAAAGACTGCAAATTTTGGGAGAATCCAGCTTAAACTTGTGTCTTGACACTAGAAATACACATAGCAGAAGTAGGAATATGTTGTGGCTAAGATGCCTGGAATGTCAGTCCACCGCTTACTTTTGCAGGGTTCTTCGTAAAATGCTCCTAGAGATAATCCATCCTGCCCACAAATTAGTTTCAAGATACAAAATTACAATCTCAAGTGATTTCTCCTCCTTAAGAACATATGGAAGACCTTGTTTGAATATTTGGGACCAATACAGTCATCTACCTTGGAGTGACTATACTTATCACAATTTGATTAATTCATATAATTCTATGCAGTTTCCTTGCTGGTCTCATTTGTATTAGGCACACTGTAAATTTCTAGTTTACAAATTATATAGACTTATTAATATTCTCAATGAAACTGTTCTAAATAATTCATACTTCTTGGTCTTGACTTGATCAATGTTTAACCTGGAGATAATAAGCAAGCAGGTTTTTGAAGCAACCATAGTTAAAGACTCTGAAATTTGCAACAGAAGCTGCAATTATCATTCTTCGAATTGATGATCTTATTAAATTACACCCAGAAAGCAAAGATGTTAAGCACAGAGGTTATGAAGATGCTATTCACCAGGAGACCTTCCTTCATGACTCATCAGATTTCTCTTTATTTATAACAAAGTTAGATGCAATTGTCTCACCCCTTGAGTATTACATATTAAAGTACACTGAGCTGGAAAAATTAATAACCTGTACTCAATTATTATTTAATATATCTTTGCATAGGCACCACTTTCAGTGAATACCTTATTTATTTAGAAAGATATAAATAGAACATGGTTCAACTGAGTAAGAGCTTTTAGAACCCTCAAATTATCATGCTAATTCCTGGTGAATTTAATTTATCAAGATGAATTTTACTGTAGAAAACCAAGCCTAACCTTAGGTGTGTGGACTGGCAGTAGTGTATCTGAGCTATACAAAATAATGGAAGCAGACAGAGATCTGAACTTATTAGTATATGTATTAAACATTATTTAATATTATTTTTTGTTTTGTGATTTGAAAGTCAAATTAAGATCCTCACGTTTTATTTTGATTTTTGTAAGAGGAAATATTGTCCTGGACTATGTAGACACTAGATTGTGAGCAAAGACCACAGGCAAGATCTTGAGAAGGTCATTCTATTATCTTTTCAATACTTCCTTTTCCAGAGATCATAGCAGGAGTTGGGTAGAGAAGTTAGAGGATCTTTCTTCTGGTTCTTGACTCACTAAATATTCTTAGTAGAACAAGAAAACTCTGACAGGTAAACCGAACAGCTTTTTGTAGCTTGTGCGCATTTGAACAAACAACAATGATTAGTTCCATGTTCTAAGCTCAATGTCATACATGAAGTTCCTTGCTTGAAGCTTCCAGTCCTTTATTTGCTTAGTCCTGATATGGTAAAATTGACTGTAAAGATTGGATATAATTGTCACTGACTCCTGTAAGTTATAAGTCCATAGTTTGGAACCCTGCATCCATGATGGAAGCCAAGTCCTACTCTCTAGATAGTCTCACTCACCTTCCTATATTTTGGAACCTCTGCATTGATTTAGTTTTAGTTTTTGTTTTGTTTCTTTTTTTCCTTTTACTCCTCCAAGTAATTCCTACAGGTTTTGTTTTAGACTCATAATACCTCCTCATTACTTTCAGCTCCATTCATAGAAATAAAATATAAATTAAGTTTCCTCTGTACAACTTAATTGAGGTGACATCATTACAAAGTATTGTAGGTGTAAGAGCTGGAAAGGGTGCAAAAGAGAGTTATTTTCAAGTATCCAAAGGAAGAGTTGAATCAGAGACAAGTAGAACATAATTTTGAGAAGTACATCTGATTACATAATGTGACAAAATTAAAATAATTATTTTATTAGAATTTAAGTTCTAAACTTGTCAGCTTGTCTTTAAATCCTCAACAGAGTAATTTAAAATGCATACATGAAGAGACAAAGGAACTAAGAGAAAACTGAAGAAAAATAGATCACTAAAATATTGAGACTTTTGTGATTTTCACGAGAAATTTTTCTGACTATTTTTTCTTGTTAAGAAAAAGCAATTGACTTTTTAAAAACGAGCTTACTTAATATTTCTTTCTAAAATAACAACAGCTTCTAAATTCTTTCAAATTTAACAATGCTAGAAAAATCAAAATATGTCTGTTCAAGGTTATTTGAGAAGTAATCATTCCTGAAATTGACACAAAAGATGAAGGTCGTGTTTTCTTTACTTCAGGCAAAATCTGTTTTGATTGTATTGTCAAGCTTCAATAAGAAATAGAAATTGTTCTCCACATAGCAGCTGTATTAGAACATGGATGTATTTGTCACTGACTTATGTAAATAGTGAACTACATTTGCTGAGCAGAAGTCAATAACTAATATTAATGTTTGAGAACTCAGCAGGGCATCCATAATATACATTCCCTAGGGACAATACACTGGATGATTTTGGAACTCTGTCCTATAGTATTTAGTCATGCAGTGTTTCTCAGTTGAACTAAATATTGGTAAATTCTTAGAAATGGGCCTTGTTTATATATATATATAAAAAGTGTATGTGTTCACATGCATGTACATGTTTATGCAGGCATGTGTGTGTGTTAGGGGAGATGGATCTCTTTTGTACTGGAATTCCCAACTCTGGCTATAGAGATGCTACTTCAATTGGTTTGACATGGGGTTCTGTAAACTTGAATTTTAAAGGCTCCCAAGTGATATTTATGTGTAGCCAGAGCTGAGAACCACCATTGCAGCCCTTCAAGTTATTGTTTTTGAATTCTTAAATATAAGGTTCTTTATTACATTAAAAAAAGTAAGAAGAATTTTAGCATTACAGGGAATATTTGCTGTCGTAATTTGAAAAAAAAATCCACTTTAAGATTCCATATTGTGCTATTGTGTTTTAATCTTTCTGTCCTTTATGTTTTGAGTCACTTTTTAAATTGTATCACGTGTGAGTGTAGGTTGAAAGAACATTTCCAGCTCCTTTAGACCTTTGAATTGTTGTAGCCATTGATATCCAGTATTTAATTTTCTTATCTGTGTTCCTCTAACTGCTTTGAACTGATATAATTTTATGTTGAAAGACCAGCTGTCAGAAATGGGTATCTGATGTTTCTATTTAAACTGCTTTCAACATAGATTAGGTTTTACTTATGGCTTAGGAATGGCAACTTGATCAAGATTAAAACTCCATCATATTATCAGAATTATTGACTGGAATAAACTCCTATTAAAGATCTGCACATTAAAGAAAATAACATGAGTGAACTTTATCATACAATCTTAGTTCAAAAGGAACTAAAGGGGCCATTAGGGCCAATATCTTCACAACATGCAAGACCTTGAGATGACACAGTGTTCCGTGAGATATGTGTCTACATTTATAATTGTCTATAAAGATTTCCTCTCATTGCATTGAGAGGAGAACTTTCCTCTCCAACACAACCTATTTTTATCCCCTTAAGTATGACTGCAGTACACATGCATACTCCCATGTTTCCACTTTTGGGAAAAATGAGAATTTCTTCATTTTCCATTTTCAATGGAGCAAGAAGCTAAAAGG